GGTTGAGAGAGCAAGCGGCCCGATTGTACCAACTCGTGCACGGTAGCCATCAGCGTCTTCCGGTTGAATGACTTTACGGCCCCACCCCCAGACCGCAGGACTGGACGCTTGCTCGAGACATTGCCGAGTGCGCGGCCCAGGCTGCGATCGATAAGCCAGTTGGTTTCGCTTGGGAGCTGCTGAGCAAGACTTGGCGCACATTCTCTAACCGTCTTGAGCTGGGGTTGGAGTCTTTTTTGGGCGTCAACGTTAAGCATAAAGGATTGAGAGGTTTGGTTCCCAGGGCCACGTGGGCCCCTATCTTTGCCACCCCCAAGAGTGCTTGCACCGAGCTGATCAACCAGGGATGGGTCTGGTTGGCCCAGCACATTTCGGAGACTGTCGGAGCGGTTTCTCGCCTTTGTGACGTTGTTTTTTGACCCGTCAACGTCTCCTGCCAAGGGTGAAGCTCTGGCACAGGACGCGCGGCAGCTCGTTGATCAGATTTTGACGCAACCGTGCCCTGGCGAAGGAAAGGCTGCTCATCTGGACGCCACCATCGCTAGCGCCAGGACCTCGATGCGCCAGCGGCCTCCGTCCTCGCTCGAGGAGCGGGCGCAGGAGGCGCGCGACTTCTTGGACTCGTGGGAGGGCGACCGCGCCAATGCCGACAAGGGCCTTTGGAGGGCTAAGCAGGACAGCTGGGACGAATGGCAAGAGAAAGCGCTAGAAGGGGGAGCTCGGGCTACGCATCGCCTCGCAAGGCTCAAGCAGAAATGGAGTCCCACGGTCGTCCGGGTTCACCCATGCACGTTCAGTAGTGATCCCCAGAAGCTCTCGAGGGCTGATGGGCGAAACGCCTGCCAGCTTCTGGCACGCCTCTGTCAAGGCAGCGCTCGTTGAAGCGCCCGGTCGCAATCACCTCCCACGAGTCTCTGCTTCCGACATAAGAAGCGCCAGCGCGTCCTCTTCGGCTAGCACGAGCCAATCATTAGACGGTCTTCACCCCAAACAACTGTCGCTGGTGCCGGACGCGGCTCTTGAAACTTTGGCGGCCCTGTTTCGGGCCGCTGAAAGCCTCGGACTTTTTCCTGGGCTATTGGCCTGGATGCGTTTTCCCCTCCCCGAGAAACCGAAGGGGGGTATCCGACTTATTTTGTCGCGCGCTGGCCCTGTCAGAGTGTGAGAGCGCTTGCAGAGACCTCCTCTTGAGGTTCAATGCAGATTCTCCTCGTAGGTTCTGGGCGTTTGGACCTGGACGCAGTGCTTGAGATGCGGCGTGGCACCAGGCTGCCCGAGCTGAAGTCTCGGCTCACACAGGACGCGTTACCGCTGGAGTGATCTGGGATGGAATCAAGTACTGTGAAACTTTTGATTTGGAACTCCTCAGGACCCGCGCCCTGGCCCATGGTTTCAACCCTGCCATCGTGAAAACTACCCGCGATTTTTGGAGGGGTCCCAGGCCGCTTCGTCTTGGTGCGCAGTATTCTGCGACGCTATATTTTGCGTTGTCTGGACTGCCAGCGGGCGACATGTTCAACGATTTGTTTGTGAGGGCTCACAATATTGAAGGTTTCGCGGCCACGTTCAGAGCGTTCAGAGATTACCTGCACGCGCAGTTGCAGGCTGACAAGCTCACGACGTTCGGCAGCTCGCTGCCCCTCGCCCGCAGACCCGGCAAGCTGCTCGGGGGGATGGCGGGCACCGTCGCCAACAGCGCAGTGGTGCTCGACGCGGATCTCGCTGTGGGTCAAAACCGCTCGGCTAAAAACGCTCGGTGGGAACGCGAACAGAGGTCCCCTAACAAGTCCGCAAGACATCGGGTTTTGAAAAGGCACCGCGAACGCCTGCCCCGACAAAAGGGGCGCATAGGACAGCTATACGTTGCTGGCGCGGGGCTTGCTGCTACTTTCGGTTCCGCCACTGCTGGCATGGATGACCAGGAAATGAAGCAGGCTCAGAGGGTTCTTTTATCGTACCAGCCTCCCTACCACAAGGGAACTTCCTTCCACGCCAAGCTTGTGTTATGTGGAGACCCTGTTTGGAGGGCTGAAGTGGCGCCAGCCCTGCACTGGCCTCGCGTCGCGCGGGTTGCTCTCACGAGCCCCAGCATTTCTAGGCATAGTGTGAAGGAGTTGTACCAGATGCGGAGCGCCGCCCCCCATGGCCCTGAGCACCCTTGGGAAAGCCCACGCGGGCCCATCCAGAGAATGCACCTTTCGCTGAATCGTACCGGATGGCGCTCCACTTCGGCTTCGGCGTGGCTCGACGATTTCGATAGCGTTGTTCATATCGGCTTTAACTCGCCTTCCCTTGTCGGCCAACTCCTGGAGCGTGGAGCCCAGAGGCATTATGAAAGGGTTCTCGCTGAGCTCCACCCTGGGTTTGGAGGTTCTCGGGCGCGCGCAGATCCCTTGGTCCGCCTTCTGGGCCCTCGGTCCAAGAAACGCACCTCGCGGGAATGTGTATATATATATATATATATATATATATGTATGGCCATCACCTGTTTTTGTGGAAGCGTGTGTGGACACGCGCCAGGGCCAAGGCTGCAGGCTACAAGGGCGACGGCAAGTGCCCGCTGCGCGGCGAGCCCGACTCTGTGAAGCATCGGTTTTGGGGACGCCAGCATGCTCACGCTGCGCAGGCGCGTGAGCAAGCCGCTGCTAATCACCCCCAGTGGTTGAGGGGGGCTGTCGACAGCGACGACCGCGCGTTCTGGGACGGGCTCAGGTGGGATCATCCTGGGACCGGCCCCCCCCCCCTCCCAAGTAGCGACCCCAATTTTGTTCTGTATGACCCCCGAGGTAATGTTATCCCCTGGGACTCCCTGGATATGAGAGGTCTTAACATTTGTATGGGTGGGTCTTGCTCTCGACACGTCTTTAGAGACTTGTCTCGAGCTGCGCATGCCTGGGTTTTCCTGGACAGCGCAGGTAATGTGGCGGCCCATGCTAAAGGAACGGCGTGGGACGTGCTGCAGCAGACGCCGCAGGGGGCCGAGCATCAGGCCATGGCTGTCGTCCCCATTGTTGTTGAGTGCAGCGGAGATCGGTATTCTGACTGTGCTACTGTCACTAAGTTGCGTGGCACCGATCCGAGTCACCTGCAGCCCAGAAAGCATAGGTACTGGGGCATGAGAAGAGGTGCCTTTACTTTATGAGAAGATGGGCCACACGTTTCAAGTCATACACACCCCCGCCCACAGGTCCCAAGAAGTCCTCGACAGCCTCCATGGGCCCCAAAGGAGAATCGGGGTAGGTAACCAGTTGGCTGATTCATTAGCTAAGCAAGCCCTCCTCCTCCATCCTCAACCTACCGACAAGAAGTGGAAGCACGTTAGTGATAGGTTGGAACAACTGGTGTTTGCGGCCGGAGTCGCGGCCAAAGTTTTGTGCGTTTTCCCTTCGGAGCTCCTCGAAAGGAACTCATCGGGGCCTAGATGTAAGTTTTTGAAGTCTGGAGGGTGGCACCACTGGGAGCATCTGGACGACAACGGTTCCAGGTGCCTGCGGTGCCTCATTTGTTCGCGGGACCCTGAGTCTCGCCCAATGTTGGGTCGCAAAGGACCCAGCAGGACGCGGCAAGGTGTGCTCGACTTTAGTAAGGGCCACACCTTGGCCCAGACCTTCGTCGCGCGTCGCGACAAGAAATTGATTGTGTTTTCTGCACGACGTGCGGAGCCTACTCTGCTCAGAGGTGTTTCAAGCTCGGGCAAGAATGTTTAGGACGCAAGCTCGCGGGAGCCAAGACCACGCTGCCGCGTATTGCGTCAGGTTTGTATCCTCATTACAGGAACGAGGATGATCGTGTTTCGGGCCCCTCGCGGCGAGGGGTCAGCTACCTGCGCTACGCTGCCACCACCCCTCCTCCGCCCGACGCCGCGTCATCGGCAGCTGGCCTCGAGGGCTTGGTGTCGACTCCTGGAATGCGCGCGTTATTTGCGCGAGTCCAGGCCAGGGAGGCAGCAGCAAAGGCTGCCAGCAACACGAACTAACGTTGTGTAGCCTCGGTCACGTCTCAGGGCTAGCAGAGGAAAAAATCCTCCTCCTCCTTCTCCTCCTCCTCCTCCTCCTCCTCGAACCCCCCTCCTCCTCCTCCTCCTCCTCCTCCTCCTCCTCCTCCTCCTCCTCCTTCTCCTCCTGGCCGATGGTCTGCCCGAGCGCCCGGGCACGATGATCGGGAGCGGGCGCAGGCCCCCCCCTCGCACCCCCTGCGCAAAGGCTACACCTGTATCCGTCGAATGGTTCGCATGCGCCAGCATTGCGGCCACCGTCTCCAGGCCTCTTAGATGGAGTCGGAGTAGATGGGGTCGGAGGATCGTGCCGCATCGCTGATGCGCCGCCGATGCGACTCGATGTGGGGCCCACTTCTCTCCACGCCGACGTCGCCGATGTGTCGCCGACGTCGCCAGTGCATCGCCGATGCACCGCCGATACATCGGCGATGCATCGCCGACGTATCGGCGATGCGGCGCGATCCTCCGACCCCATCTACTTCGACCTCATCATAAGGGGGCCTCTACCGTCGCTCTGGCAGTAACCATGTGGGCCGCTTTCGGCGGATCCTGGGCGGCATTCGCTCCTGACTCCAAGGGGTTGTTGTGGAGACCTTTCCTCCAGAGGCCGAGTTTTGGTAAAGATCACCGGTCGGCCTCGCTTCCCTTTCAGGTAATCTGTTGGGCGACGTCAATTGACAAACAAAAAACTCCCTCCCCCCTGTCCCACCCCCTGTCTTCCACCAGATGTCCCAAAGTCTTACCTAAGGCTGAAAGGGTGGCCCGTCAGGGGTCTTTGAGGCCTTCCCTCTTCCGGGTGCAAGGTTTCTTTCCCACTTAGCGAACTGACATTCCCGTGTCCTTTCCCTCGGCCTTGCGCGATCCTCTCGGCCTTGGCCAGGAGCTTCCGCCCGCAGGCCGTATATATACGCACATACAATGGCATTATCAGTAGCCTTCGTGTCACTCTCTTTCGTCGTGACCTGATTCGTCCTCTTCGCTCCCCTCCCCTCCCCTCCCCCAGGCCGAGCCCTTCCGGCTGTCGGGCCTGTCGCACCTGCCGCCGCTCGTGGGGGCTTCCTGGGGGCCCGACGGCCTCACGGTCGTCTCCAGCGCGGGCGACCTCGCCGCGTGCCCCGGGCCGCGCCCAGCGCCGGGCGGGACCTGGGCGTGCGGGCCCGCGGCGCGGGCGCCCGCCAGGCTGCCGGTGGAGGAGCTTCGCTGGGCGCCTCGCTTCGTCGCCTCGTCGCCTCGCATTTCGGGGAGGGGATGGGGAGGGGGAGGAGTGGGGGGGGGGTCCCTCTTTCCTTCTCCTCCTTTTTACCTCCCTCCCTCCCTCTCGTCCCTCCCCTTTCCTTACAGAGTGCCCTGCAACGAAGTTTCGTTGCCTCTTGGTGGGTTAGGGCAAGTGGAGGGTGCTGAAAATGTTGGGGTGGGCGGTGTGAGGCAGCAGACAGAACTGGAAACTTCAGGGGAAAGACGTGTAAGAAACCACACCATGGAAAAAAGTTACTCTCGGTGGTGCTACACCGAAGTTATGCTAGGGGCCATAGGCGCATCACAATGGCGCATGTTTTGCCATTGGGTCAGAGTTAATTTGATGAAGACGCCCGTTGGTTGAGGGCGGCTGGGACCTGGAGGGACAGTTTGTGCCCCGCAAGCCGCCCTCAGGCCGGTTGCGTTTGTGTCCTGGCCCATACCCCTACCAACGCAAACCCTTATATGTTTTCTCGCGCGCGCGAGTTGCATTTCGCCGTGCGCATTGCACGTAATGCGCTGGGGTTGCATTGGGACGCCGCCGCGATGTTCGCTCGGGCCTGTTTCGGGGCACACTTGTGCACCGGTGGTTTGCTTCACTGCCAAAGCATTTGCCTTCCGAGCTGCTAGCTCCCGGGCGGGCGGTGCGGGGCGGGGAGGCATGGTCTCCACCCCCGGCGGGCGACGGGTACATGATGCGGCCCTTCTCATTAGTTAAGTTCATGGCCATAGTGTCTCATCGGTGGGTCACCTGCTGGGCGGGGGCCAATGGGCCTAACTAGCCTGGACATTTGGGTGCAAGTTTCGGCGCTGCGGGGTGGGATTGTCTGCGAACTTTTGCGCGTGGATGCCTGCCGCCCAGCGCTCCCCATGGTCACCCTTCCCTTCTCCGAACCAGAATTCCATTCAACATTTGTTTAATTCCTTGTGGGGCGGGGGGGGGCGCCCTTGAGATGTGGAGGAGACGTTTCCAGATGTTGTTGTATTCCGCTAGTACAGGCACCATGATACTGCAGCCACCAAGGAATTGTTTTTGTACTCCGCCACAAAAAAAGTGAGTGTGTGTTCTGCCACACAAGGAATCCTTCCGATTCCGCCACCACGAAATCATTCTGCTATCCTCTACAAATGGATTCCTTTTTTGAAATTAGGGGCATGACTGCAAAGCATTTGTTCTCACAACTTGTCAATGATATTCTAAGTAAAACTTAATGTGAAATAAGTGGTGCTGACGCGTAAATTCAAGCATTTAATAAAGAGCACAGAAGCGAAAAAGAAGATGAAAGGATATGCGATGCGCCCGCGCATGCTAAGACATATTCTACATATACAGTCATGTATGATGATAGTATGAAGAATCAGAAGAACATATATATATATATATATATATATATATATACATATAAATAAAAAAAAACGAAGGCACGGGCAAAAATAATAATTGTCTCAGAGACTGACTAAACTGTTTTGGGAACCGATGTCTCTTAGTCATATAGCCAATTTCAATAAGACTCCTCATGTAGCAGATTAGAGAAGGCCCCTTTCGTAGCGGACGAAAGCCCTGGTTTTAGATTGGTGTTGAAGAGGATTGCCACGCATAATGAGCACGGGGTTCCATGGATCGGACTTTCTAAATGCGAAAAAGAAGAGTTCTCGAGAACGCGCGCTTTCATTGTGCCCACTGGCTGGATACCGGTAAATGAAAAAGACGACTTGCAATTTGTTGCATCCGCCGCCAATTTTGCCACGTCAGACGCGACCTAAGCGACTGCGCTCAAGCCTTGCATTTCTGATGTCAAACAATGCTACCAGTTGGCGCCAACACTGTGAAGGCGTTGCTTTACCCTGCATAGGTCGATGCTCTTGGTGTGGGCCACCTCGGAGGTTGCCGTGGTTTCGACTTGTAGTCGAACCACCAAGCAGCGATCCAACAGTACGACGCAAAGGTGGCCGCGAGACTCGACGGCAGAGATAGCACCCACGACGAGGGTAGGACAAATCCCCGTTCGCCGCCACTCGATGGAGAAGCAGACGAGGAGGACCAGGTAGCATGTAGGCGCCGCTCCCACGCCGTCGCCGTCTCTCGCCAGGGCATCTTCCACCGCGGTGCATCCAAGGAGCCCGTGAACGCCTTGTGTTTCCAGCGGCCAGCTGGCGACGCAGTCTAGCCAGAGGTGGAGTGGAACACGCAGCAATGCAAGATTGACAATTAGAGGAAGCGCAGCCGAATAATCGTGACGACGCCCAGTGGTTCTTTCAGAAAGTTTGCGCAAAACCGTCGCCGGCGACCCAATTTCCCCCCGCGAGAACCATCGCGCCCCGAAGAGCGCGAGGTGCCAGAGGCCCATTCAATGTCACATCATCGGCTGCTCCAGCGCGCGAACGCCCTTTCTTGACGAACGCGGGGCTTCGGCCTCCAAGGCGCAGTGCAAGCGCGGCCGCGGCTGCGTTTTGCGGGGGCGTCGAGGACGCGCGCGAAACGCAGCGCATTCTAGCTATGAAGGCCAGGCCTCGCTACGGCCGCAGCCATGACCTGACCGCTGCGACGCCAGAGAGGAAGCGCCACGAGGCAGACGAGCCACAGCGTCAGTGCCCCCAAGAGAGACAGGGCGACGGCCCATGCAGAGCTAGCCGAACAAGTACCCGACGTGGACCAGGCGCGGCAGGACATAGAGAAAGCAATATTGTCGAGCGCCGTTCACGAGTCCCGCGTCGACGCTGGAATGTCTGCGTCGTCGCGGCCTACGGGGCTCGATATGTGATTTTCGATGGCGAGCAGGATCCGCTCGGCCATCGCCGCTCCGGCATCTGCAAGACCCACGCGCGCGAGGTGCCAAAGGCCCATTCAGCGCCGCATCATCAGCTGCCCGCAGCCACAACTTGACCGCCTCAGCGCAGGGGGGGAAGCGCCGCGAGGCAGGCGAGCCAGAGCGTCCGCGCAGCCGAGAGAAACAGGACGACGGCCGATGCCGAGCGAGCCGACTGCGCAGCCGACGCGGACAAGGCGCGGCAGGACATTGAGAAAGCAATATTGTCGAGCACCGTTCACGAGTCTCGCGCCGACGCTGGAACGTCTGCGTCGCCACGGCCCACTGGGCTCAATTCGCGTTTTCTTGGCGACGAGCAGGACCCGCTCTGCCATCGCCACTCGGGCGCGGACGACATCTAATCGACACAAGTGGCATGTTCGTTGCGCCGGTTGTCCAACGCCTTGTTCTCTGGGCGACAGACAAGTCGCTGCGCTGCGCGGGTGCGTTCGCTGATAGCGAGTCGCGGCAGTCAGCATTGCCAGCTGACGGTTGGCCCTCGCGGCGTCAATGTCAAGTATTTTTTTGCCCAAGCGATGGTCGACCGTCCAAGTGCTTCCGCCCCGCCAGGCAGGCGGCGAGACCGCGTTGCTTCGCTTCGCCACCTGCCGGTTGACGGCGCCGTTCGTCGAGCAGCGCCTATCGCATCAGCGCAGCGCCGCCTGCGAATTGCATTGCGAAGGGGCGCATGATCACTATTCTCGATATTTCTACGTCCCGGCGCCATACTTCCACGTTCTGTTCTTATGCTATTTTCTTCTTGCATCATCAGCAATCCACCTCGGTCGTTCCCCTCGCCCCTCCTTCCTCATTTCTCTTCCCACGGTTCAGCGCCTTATCCTCCCCCATTGTCCTTTCCTGTCCTTACCCCCCCCCATTCCCCCTCCGCCCCCCGCTGCCCTCCCGCCCCCCCCCCCCCCCCCCCCCTCGGCGAGCGGCGTGCCGATTGCGGCGCAGGCGGCGAGGCGCTCCATGCGCGCGCCCCGCCTCCGCCGATCGACCTCCGGCCCCCGTCGCCTCACCACTCTGGCCCCCAGCCTTTAGCAGCAGATATCTCGGCGCCACTTCAAATCGACGCCCAGCCCCCGCCAGCTCTGCGACCCGACCTCCAGCGCCCATCATCCAGAGTTCCGCGCCCGCCTTCGCCGATCCACCTCCGGCCCCCGCGAGTTCAACACCCCGACGTCCAGCGTCGATCATCCGACCTTCCATTCCACGCGCCACACGCCAGCCTTGAGCCCCCGCCACAGCGGATGTAAACATTAACGCGAAACCAAAATCAGAACGTTGGAATTCCGCCGCTCGGAGAAAATAGATGCATTTCGGGCCACGACAACATGGGGCCCAAAAGCTTGCATTTGCGGTTGACGCTTATTCTCTGCATTTTCAGCGGCGGCTGCCAATCGCGCCCAGCTTGGACGCCGCGGACTTCGAATGGCGAAATTCCAACGTTACGAATCATTTTCGCGTTAATTGCTTCCATCCACGGCCTCCAGCAAGGCTGATTCGATGGCGCTTTATGAGTTACATACACGATGTGGGTCTCGCGCTTGTCAACCGTTCTGGCACTTGCCCGGCCAGGCAACGTGGCCCCGATGAGCTGCAATGGCTGCAACGTTGCGAAATGTTCGAATCTCGTTTGGTTCAAGCGAAACGCAGATGAGATCGCCAAGAATGGCGTTTTGGGACGCTCCGTTGTTTTCAGTGCGAGCCTGGATATGACGAGTCGATCCGGGGATCGTCGGGAATCGCGTTCTAGGACCCCCCGGTCTTTTCGGTCTCAGCCTGGCTATGGCGAAATGATAATGAAAGCCGCCAAGTGCGATCGGGTTGCATAGTTCCAACGTCATGATTGACTTGCTGGAGTTCTGGCTTGAGACTTGCATACCAAAACGACGCCGATCATAACGTTAAAAATTCGTATTTGATATTAACTGAATGTTTAATTGGCCAATATTCAATGCTACGCTCGGCGTCGTTGCGATGAGGAAGTCCTGTGCCAGAGCTCCCATAAGTCATTCGTAGCGTTGGAAAGTTGCAACCCCATGGCGCTTCGCGGCTTTCATCATCGCCTCGTCATTGCCAGGCTAGGACCGGAAAAAACTACAACGTCCCAGAGCGCCATTCTGGACGATCCCAGGATCGCTTC